TGCACCTCGCCCGCCGCCTCCTCTGCCTCGGTTCCCTGCGGCTGCGGCGGCCCCCGCCCTCAGGCCGGCCACCGCCGCCGCGAGGCCTTGCCTGGATCCTACCAGGGAGAGCGAGTCCTGGCGGACGAAAGCGCTCGCAATGCGCCAGGCGACGGAAGCCTGCTGTCAGAGGCCACTGGCCAGCGCAGAGGCGCGCGACTCGCCGTCGGCCGTGGCGGCCAACTCGCTCGCGCGCTCTCGCCCAGGCGGCCTCCCAGCTCGAGCGCTCACGGGGAGATGTTGAGCCCCGCACAGCGTCGCCGCTTGGCCCTCTCCTCCTCCGCCGCTGCGGCCCCGTCCCAGCTGGCCGCTGCGCGGATCTGGGCCAACTCAGCGCGGGCGCCCACCACGGCGACGTCAGTGGCCACGCGCCTGCCGTCGCAGTTGAAGACGACATCCAACACGTCCCCAGCCTCGTCGTCCGCCGTCGTGTCCACCAGGGCCGGCGCGGGCGAGCTCTCGAGCCGCTGCTACCAGAGCGCGCGAAGGTCGATGAGGGCCTTGACGAAGCGCCACAAGATGTCGCGGATCTCGTTGTGGCCCCCGACAGCCTCCCCGCCGATCTTGCACCCTTTTGCGTGCACGAGCCCGTCAAGGCCATCCAGCTGCGCCCCGCAAACACCCCGCGTTCCGGAGTGGTGACAATGTGTCTCCACATGCGATTGAAAGACTACCTTCTCGACAGTGCACAGCAGGCGCCTGCGCAGAGCCATGCGCCAAGCTTCGTCCGAGATGGCTTGGTTGTCGGGCTGTACTGCACGCACACGAAGTTGCCTGCTCCAGCGTCTCCTGCTTACCGCAGCCGCGCCCAGAAGGGTGCAGGACGCCGCTGAGGGTGGTCTCGCCCACCTGGAGGGCCGCCGCGTGCATGATCATCCTTTGCATGTGCTTGTTGGGTTCGGTGGTGAAGTCCAGTTTCACGTCGCCGACCAGCGCGGGTGCCCGAGTCGTCAAGTCAGCTCTCGCCTTTGTAGCTCCGCCGCGAGTCCCGGGAAAGCTGCGTGCAAGCCCTGCTCTGTGTGCACGGGAGCCCCGGGGCATTGTCGCCAGAGATGTTGGCGCCATCCCGTATGAAAAGCAGCAGATGCCCGCGGCGTGGCCAACCCAAAAGCGGCGCCGCTGTCGCGAAGCGGCAACTTAGTCGCGATCTGCTCTGGGGTCAGGTCGACATCGAACAGCTCGGCCCACGCGTCCGCGACGGCGCCGTCGGAGGCCGCGAGCGCTTGCGTTCACTCCAGAGGCGCGAGCGGCGCAGGTGCCTGGGGGGCCCCGACGGTGACGTAACGCAGAACCGCACCGGCGACCTGGCAGCAAAACCCTCGCCGTCGGGTGTCCTGGAGAGTATCGACCGCACGTAACAGTGACCTTCCGCCGGAGTGACCTTTGGAGCGGGCCCAATCGGGTCCCCCAATCGAGGCCCGATCGCGTCCTGAGAGAAGCGGGTCCTGAGGTCGTTTCTTGGTTTCGGGCTCCCGGGACCCTCCACGTTCCCCTGGACCGTCAGGACAAAAAAAACGACTCAGGACGAAGACCTGGTCCCGGGGGAACAGCCCCAGGGTCCAGGACCCGTTTCCCTCGGGACCCGTTTACTTCAATCCAAGAATAGCAGCTGTGTCGCGCAACAGAGCCGTCGCTTTCTGCATCTCCTGCTTGGAAGTGCCAAACCCTGCCGCCAAGCGGTCTTCGCGGTCGTGGTCAGGTCATAAGTAGAGCGCGCAGCCCAGCACGAGGAGGTCGAACACCACGGCGTGGTGCAGCATGTCCGTGAGTGTCTGTTGCGGGCAAGGTTCGTATCCATATCCAGTGCGTCTTGGATTTTTTGGGAAGGAGCGTCAGAAGGCCGAGGCGCGCTGGATATGGATAAAAATCGAGCCTCCAGGGGGTAAATTTATCGATATCCAGCGCGCCTCTGGTTTCTGGGGAAAGGGAACCCGAAACTCCACATCGCAGTGGACGTGGACAGAAGTATTGCCCGCACCTGTGCAGCTCCGGGCGATGCCAGCAAGACGTTCGTCTTCTCCGCGGCGCACCAAAAAGCCCACCCCGCGCGAGCTCGGCAGCCCAGGCGTCTCTGTTTGACCCACGAGGGGGTCCAGCTGAAAGGGGGGGGTGCAACAGATTTGGCGCAATAGCTTTACGGGGTTGCAATCGATTCGGGGCTTGCAATACATCCTGGTGCGCAAATCTACTGCTGGATTCTCGCGTGCAACACGTTCGATGCAACACCATGCAATCCACCTCGCCGTCGCAGTACATTTGCGATACACCTGCCCGAATTCTATCGCACCGCCCCCTCTCAGCTGGACCCCCTTTTGCGTCAACCAAACGTCGCACGAGGCCGCCAGGTTGGCAGCAGGCCCCGCAATGTAGATGACGTCCGCGTATGCCACGAGACTCGTCCCAAGGCCTCGCCGGTGATGGTGGCGTTGAGCAGGCGGTCTACCAGGGGCTCATCCAGGGCACTGGAATGGCTCGGACACGCGCATTTTGTCTTGGCGGAATCATCCATCGAAGAGCCTTTCGGGTCATCTTGCAAAGTAATGCGCGCGAAACCGAAAACTGCACGGGAAGTGGACGTCCGAGCGAGGGCGAGGGGCGTGCGTGCCCGAGCGGCCGCTTGAGCTGCCCCCCAGCAGACTGTGTCGTAGGCTTGCTCGATGCCCAAGCTGAGCACGCCCTTGAAGTTCCCTGACTCCGCAGCCAAGCTGAGCGGCTTGAACGCCGCGTCGGCACCGCCAGCGCGCCCGCACGCGAACTGCATGGAGCCGACGGCGTCCTGTCCCTCCTGCTGCTGCTGTTGCTGCTCCTCCGCCTCTCTCTTCCCCTCCTGGATTCTCCAACTCCTCCTCACTTCTGTATCCTCCCTTCTCATCCCTCCTCGCTCTCCTCAGCATCCCGCTCCGCGTGCTGATTATCCTCCCTTCTTTCTCCTCCCCTCCACCCTCCGCCCACCCTTCCTGCTTCCCTCCCTCGCCCATCGGCCCAGGGGCACACCCGAGTGGCCCCCCCCCCTCCCTCCATGCTTCCTCCATTGTTGCCATCCTGTTGTATTTCCCTCCTCCCTCCCCCTCCTTCCTCTACCGGGGCATGCGCAAAAAAACGACCATCCTTGGATATGAGGGTATAGTGGTGTTGCACATTAGATATAACGATCTAGTAATGTCGTGCGTGTCGTACGAAACGTGTGAGGGGTGTGCCACGAAACGGAGGAGGGGCCGCAATGCGCCCAAACAAGGTCCTCCTGGACCAGCGGAGTGTCCATTAATTTCGCCCGCACGTGAGGCCACGGCATCGTTACCAGTATCCTCGTCCGCACGTGAGGCCACATTAGGTCCCGGTGCATTCGCCCGCACGCGAGGCCATATTTTCGCACTCATGTGTCAACGCCCACAAATCGTGCTCGCATGCCATGCCGTGCTCTACAATGCATCGTGTACCCTTTCGGGATCATTGCCCTGCTCGGCATCCGACTGTGCGAGTAGAGAGGGGATCTACGCCATGGTAAGGGATGGGAGGGAGGGGTAGGATGTCAGATATGACGCGAGCGCACCCAGCTCGCCCTCCCCCCCCTCCCCCCACGGAGCAAAGCTTGGTGGAGGCACAGACCTGCCTGGCTCACGAGTCAGCTTTGCACTTCGGGGGGGAGGGGGGGGGGGAATGGAGGGAGGGGTGGGGGGGAGGAGAAGGAGGAGGAGAAGGAGGAGGAGGAAGAGGGAGGAGGAGGAGGAGGAGGAAGAGGCGGAGGAGGAGGAGGACCAGTGTAAACCCAAGAGTCACCAACGATGTTGGAATAAACCCTCCCCCCCAAGCTCCCTCTTCATAGGCCACTACAGCGGCTCATTTATGAAGAGCCTGAAGCATGCCAAAATATTATTCTCGGTATTCCAACGCCACGGATGATCCTGACTCTTGCGTCTTGACGATCTTGAATCGTACCAGAACGCCATTCCTGGGACCTCAACTCCGCGAATCATCGTAACTGATGCGCCCTCGAAATCGTGAATCCTTCCAACGCACCATTTCTGGTACGCCGATCATGGGAATCCGTGAAGCTCCTGCAATGTGTTAACAAGACTGTTCGCGGCGCTAAAGGCGACAGCCACATGTTGAAAAGGAACCGCCCTCAATCCGTGAAGCTCTTGCAAATGCTGAATCAGAATGTGCGCGGCGCTAAGGCGAGAGCCACATTTTGAAAACGACACGTCCTTCATCCGTGAAGCTCTTGCAATTTTTGAATCAGAATGTGCGCGGCGCTAAGGCGAGAGCCGGCGAGATCCACATTTTGAAAACGGCCCGCCCTTCATCTGTGAAATTGTTGCCAATTTTAAGTTTCAGGGTCATAGTCTGAGGCGAAACGCCTGGCCCGCCCTGAAAACTGGCCTTGGGGTGCGAAAGGGCGAATTCATGTGTAAGGAAAAGGAAGGAGGAGAAAGGAGGAGGAGCAGGAGGAGGAGGAGAAGGAGGAGGAGGAGGAGGGAGGAAGGAGGAGGATGAGGAGGAGTAGGACGAGAAGGAAGAGGAGGAGGAGGACGAGGGGGATGAGGAGGAGAAGGCGGAGGAGGATGAGGAGGATGACAAATTCTTCACGCTTCGCGTATCCCCACCAGCCCATCTCAAAACAGCAACTCTTGCGAAGCATGCCGACAGTCGTGTTTTTTTAGGCGTGTTTCCGCCTGCCCCCGCATATCTCCCCTGTTCCTCCTTCCTCCCGCCTCCTTGTACATCCTCCTTGTGGTGGGAGCGGGAGAAGGACGAGGCGG